CGCGGCAGAATTGCAATCGTATCTCTCGCGCGCGCTGCTCCGATCGCTGCCGGCACTCCCCTGGGCCCGCCGCCTTCCGGGGGGCTCTGCGTTTGGGAGGCCCCCCTGCCCGCCGCAACGGAAGCGGCCGGGCGCGTTTTGAAGTCTGCCCCGCACGCGCGCCCACTCCTTCGCATTGCAACTTTGCGCCCGCGCCGCGCGGGCCGTTGGCGCCTCGGAACGGATTTAATTATTGAGTGGCGTCTTGGGGCGGTTGACGACGCATTCGTCGAGCAGGGCGCCGACGTCTGCACGCCGTCTGGCTCGCGGCCCCCGCCGGGCGCGCGGCTGCCAGCTGGCCCCCCGTTTGCTTGGATAGGCGCGACGCCCGCGGAGTGGGATTCGGCGGGCCTTTTCGTTCGGCCCTGGCTGGAGACGGCTGTCAGATCTGTTCCGGAGGAGCCGTCAGCGCGCGAGCAATCGTTTGAAGCGCGGCCCTCGCCGAACGCCCGCCTGCCCAGACGGCAATCAATGGCGACGGGAATATGCGCCTCACGCGCGTCGTCTCGCACGGCCCGCGCTGCCCCCAGCGTGGCCCAGACAAGGATGCTCAGGAATTGCTGGAAGGTGTAAACCTCAATGCGCTCAACCCCCTGAAGTCGGCCCATCCCCTGGAACCCATTGACATCATTGTAGGCGCGCGGAACCACCCCCGAACCGTCCAGGCGGCGGATGATTTGATCGCCCCATCGGATCATAATTGTGGTTGTTGGTTTTGGTGGTCTTGTTGTTGATGTTGCTGTTGCTGTTGTTGTTGTTGCTGTTGTTGTTTTTGCCGCTGCTGCTGTTGTTGCTGCTGATGCTGCTGCTGATGTTGTTGTTATTGATGTGGCTCTTGCCTTGGAAAAGCAGCACACGGAAAAAATGACTTGATCACAAGGTAGCCCCACAAGCCGGCGGGCGGATGGTGTTCACGATCTTCTCAAGGCACCATGATCCAAGAATCGCGGTTCGATGGTTTCTCAAACTGCAGCGAGCTGGAGGAAGGTTCCAAGAAAAACAAGATCATGCGCGGGCCGCGGCCCACACGCTCCGCCCTTCGCGGGTGGCCCGACCCCGGCTGGGCGCAGCGCGCATCTGCGTTCGCATTCGCATTCGCATTCGCAGTCGCAGTCGCATGTGCATTCGCACTCGCATTCGGATCCGCATTCGCATCCGCGCCCGCATCCGCCCCCGCATTCGCACGCGCATTCGCACTCGCGCGCAGGCAGCGCGACCCCCGTGCAGCGCTTCTGAGATTTCGCCACGCAGCGCGCGCAGCTGCGCATTAAAGATGCGACCCTGGGCAGTTCCACCTCTCAGGAAGAAGTCTTGAGACTGCCGGCCGCGGGGCCCCGCTGTCTGGCGGTCTCGCGCCGGAGTGTCGCCCGGGAAGGGCCAATTCACTCCCGCGACCCCGGCGTCGCAGGCACCGGGGACAGCAGCGGCAACGACAACGAAGTCACGCGCCCGGAGGCGCGGCGGACACGCGCACCTGGAGGCGCGTAGGCACCAGGGGGCGCGCCGTTAATCAGCGCGACACCAGGCACCCAGCTCTCGACCGCTTTGGCCCGCCACGTCGGGCAGTCATGTGCGAGGCCAAGCAGCGAAGGGGAGGAAAGAGCAATGACCTGGATACGGGGTCTCCAACCCTGCCCTGCTGGGCCGGAGCACGCCGCGACTCAGCGCAAGCGGCCCCTGCCAACCGCCACGCGCCCTGCGCGAGCGCCGCGTCGCTGGCGAGGGACACGGAAGGGCAGGCGCCCTCCTCACCGCGGGCAGGCCCGCTTGCAGACGCGGCGAACAGTCCGGGAGGGGCCAGGGGCGAGGCGCGACACAGAAGCCGCGCCCCTAAGTTCAACGGGGCCCGCGCCAGGCAGGAGCTCTCCTTAACTGGCGCCGTCACAGTGCGCTTCCCAAGCGTAAATTTGGACATGGCCACTCCGATTTCGGGCTCGCGGAATATCAACCAAGGACATTCAGGCCCAGGCGCGGCCCCCAAGCGCCGGACGGCTGAGACCACAACCACAACCACAACCACACCACAACCACAACCACAACCACAACGCCGACGACGACGACGACAGCAACAACAATCTTACTACTGTTTGTTCTTACCTGCTCGCCTGCCAATCAACGCGTGCATCTCAAACCTCCGACGCCCACCCCCGTCGTCTTCGACCGCGCCCCCATCGGAGGTATATCTTCCCCACCTGCAACGCGCATTTCGCGGGGCACCGAAGGCGCGGGAATAGGAGGACGGATGGAGGGAAGGGAAAAGAGGGAGAAGAGGAGGATGGAGCACGAGAGAGAGAGAGGAAAAAAAGAGAGAGAGAGAGAGAGAGAGAGAGAGAGAGCAGGAGGGAGCTAGGAGCAGAGAACACGCGGCAGAACCAGACGGGCAGATCGGGCGGGCAGATCCTAACAGGCGGGCCCAGGCGGCCAGGTCGAGCAGGCGAGTTGCTGAAGCGCGCGCCCAGCATTAATCGAGAGGACGCCTTGAGCGACAGCGCGATTGCGAAATAAATCACAACGACAACAACGACAACGACAACGACAACGACAACAACAACACGTGCCCAACGTTCCCTGTCCATCTCTCGCACACGCGCTGCCCACTTCCATTCCGTCCTTCGTTGCGCGACCCTCCACCGATCGAACTGCATATGCCCCATCGTTGTCTCAGCTGCTCGCGTTGCCCACTCTTTCCCATCCACCCAAGGCAGTACCATCAGTCCACGTTCGTCGCCTCCGGCGTCCAAGGATGAGCCGCAGCATGCGTCTCTGACACTCCCGCAGCGCACGCCTCATGTATGCTGTCATATCCCAGACTGATGCGCCGCGCAATACTAAGGGCCTCAGACGACCCCGCAGTCCATTGCGTGCGTGATAGCGCTTGCTTGTACACCATGAACTGTCTCCAGCCAAACAATATCAAGTTCTCAAGCTCTGCGCCGTCGGGCTCGTCAAAATTGGGCTTGCGCCAGAAGTGCTGGACATTGTCTGGCAAAATAAAATCGATCCATATATTCCCCACATCCAGTGTATGTACTGAATATGATACCTGTTCTGTTCGTAAGATTGCATGATACCTTTGTTTTCTCTGGGTGCGGAGTTTTGGTCTCTCCCCCCAGCGCTGCCGGGCCAGTCCCAGCGACGGCGCTCATCCTAGCGCCAGCGACAAAAACTGCAACGAGGTCGCCGGGCACGTGCCATAAATTTGCGCACGGCGGCGATCTGAAAAACTCTTCTGCGACCACTCCCCCTTCACCTGTCGGAACGCGTTCCCCAGGACCGCGGTGACAAGCAAAGAACTCAGATGATCACCTTGATTCGTTGCACGTCGCATCCTGTCTCACGGAGAACGGCGTGCTCACAATGTCTGTGCGAACGCAGCATCTTTGTCTGCGCGAAAACGCGATAATGAGATAACGCGCGCACGCCCTGTCTTTGAAGCGCCTTCCATATCCATGCGCGACCCTCGCTGCCGATTGATCCCATTATCTTGCTTGTTCTTGCACTCGAGCTGCTGTCCACAAGCGGCCCACCGCGCTGCAATCCCGTCGAAAACCAGCTTGCTCAGGCGCCCGCTCCTCGTCGAGAATATGCCCCAGTCGCTGGGCAAGGAATCAACCGAACAACTTGTGCACATGTAGTCGACCCACTCCTGGGCAACAACTTCGGCCCGCTGGCTACGCGCACCACCTCCACACAGGCTTCCGTCCACTTTGCCGGGGCCTTCTTCGGATCATCCAGGATACTACCGAACATAACCAACAACACATGCTCCATTGGCTTCTCCACCTGCTCTGATTATCTCTGCAAGTGTCCCAGCATTGTCTGTGTACTTAACCCAGTTGAACTGTCGGACTGCCTCCTGGAGCTCGCCCTCTGCCACGGGCTCGACCGCGCCGCGCCCGCGCAACAGATGTGTCTGTCCTGCCTCCCCAGGAAAGCCGGGACGTATAAAAGTCAGAGAACACATCAGCGATGGCCGCCTGCTCGATTCCAGCCACGCCCACCATTGATGCAAGGAAACTCCGTTGGCATTTTTGTTTGACGCCTGCGATTGTTCCCTAGCTTTCCCTGGGCAAACTATTTCTGAGGCGTCTTCCTCAAATTCCTAGCAGCTGCGATCGTGCGCAAGGCTCGCCTCACTGATTGTTCGATTGCTGCAATCGCGATTCTAATCTTCAGCTTGTCGGGTTGCCGCCTTGTCGTTCGCAAGTTTCTGCGACCACTGCCTTGTTTCGCCTGCATTACTCACGGATTCTTCTGGACTGCCGCACTCACGAACGCTGCCCTGGGGATACAAATCTGCCGACCCCTTGAGGGTCACCGGCGCGCAAAACGCCTCCCCCCCTGCCTTCCGCAAACCCCTCCCCTAGGAGCCCGGCCCGGTCGACGCGGGGGGGAGGGGGGGGGCTCGATCAGAGCCGGCAGAAGAACTATCCAGGCCAGCTGGGGGTGATATTCTGATCCCGAAGCAGGCCCCAAAATGGGCCCAAGAAGTGGGCCACGAACCGAAAATCCGAACTGTCCGCTCCAAGAAGCCCCCAGGAGACCCCAAACCCCGAGAAGCATCTCCAAGAGGTCCGAAAGAGGCATCAAAACAGCCCCCCAAAGACGCCTGCAGACTGCCTCGGGCAGGCCCCCAAGATGCTTCTCACGAGATCCCAACGCACGGCCGGGGGGGCGGAGGGCCGGTGCACGCGCACATTGGTCCGTACTCTTTCGAAGAGGTGGACGCGGTGTTAGACAGTCTAAAAACGACATCTGCCGCGGTCCGCGGCTGCTTCGCAGCTGTCCGTTCACCGGTCCCCGAGGGCCGCTGGGTCACGCGTGCCCTCGCAAATCTTTCCAGGCACTGCGCGCTCACGAGCACCCTGTGGTCGATTCGCCAGGTCACGCCTCTCCATAAGTCGGGGCCCCGCGTTGTTCGGTCAACTTTATGTCTCCGGCCGATTTCTATCTCGGCGGTCATGACATCCGTTGTGGATGGGCTGTGGAACCTGCGCAACGCTCCTTCGCTTGAGAAGTACTGCGGGGTTGCGCAGCAGGGCGGCGTTGGGGGCCCTATCTCCCTCCTTCTCTCCCTTCTCCTCCACGCTCAACTCCGTAGCGCCCAAGGTCTTGCCACTTATTTGGCAGTTACGGACCTCCAGTGGGCTTGTGATGTGGCGTCTCATCTCGCCATGCTGTTCAATGCCTACGAGGCGGGGGTGCGTGGTGACGACTGGCTCCTGCTTGATGATTTCATGTCGCCTGACGCGCAATACATCGTGCTCCGTGGCCAGGTGTCGTCCATATTTTCCCTCGGTGGTGGAACAGCCCAGGGGCGTAGATTCAGTGTTGGCGTTTTCAACGCGCAGCTCAAGTGGCTGGCTGAAGAAGTATTTCGTGTACTACCAGAAAGCTGTGCTGCTTGGGTGGAACCCCACCTCCGCCACCATTGTTTGGGCATCAATGTCTCCGAGCCCTCCTGCGATGGCGCACCCGCCCCGCCGGCTGTTGGGGGCGACCTCGAAGCTCTCGCTGTTGAGGTGGCGTCCGCGGCCGCCGCGGAGCAGGCGCCCTACCCGAGGGCTAAGCGTGCGCTTCGTTGCGGGGCCACGCGCGTTGCCACAGAGGCCGACAAGGCCTACCTGCTTGACCGGCTGGGCTCGGGCCTCCCCACCCCGCTGCAGTTTGTGGATGACTTGACGGTCGCAACCTCCTCGCCAGGTGCTCTCCGCGCCATCGTCTCGCGTGAGCCTTGGTCGGCCTGCTCCCGGTATGCGAGGCGTACCCGTTCCCAGTTCAATTACAAAACGGGAAAAATAGCTGCCATGGCGATCCTCGACAGCCCTTCTCCAGGAGACGTCGGCTGTCCTGTTGTTGACTTAAAGGTCCTGCTGGGGGTTCTTTTTGATTCACGCCTAACGTTTGGCCCATTGATGTTGGCGTCTTTGGCCAGAGGGAGCGAGTTGTTCGAGTCCTTGTTCTTCGCAGGTGAGACAGGAGGCTTTGGGCTCCCAGTCCTGTGTGCACAGGTGCCGCTGCGTGTAGAGTCTGCTTTGCTCTATCCTTCCCCCTTCCTTTTTCTCGCTTCCCGTGCTCGCTTTTCCCCTGACTACATGCAAGCGGGGTGGGCCCGCCGTTTGCTCGGTTGTGCTACTGGCCCGCCGCTCCCTGGCCCGGTAGTCATCGTGCAGTGTGGTTGGCACATGCGCCTTGGCACCAAAATGGTCGAGCGAACTATCCTCGCGCGTGCGAGGCTCTTCCTTTTACCTTGGGAGCATCCTGGAGCTAACATGCTTCAGGTGGCAGAGAGCACGTGCTGTTCCTCATGGGCGTCAGCCGTGCGGGCGTGGATGAATTCCGTGGACCCTCCCCTCCCTGACGTAGTTGAGTAGTCCCTTGCTGGGCAGCAAGCTTGTGCAACTGCTCGAACAGATCCAGCGGCTCGTCGTCTGCTGTTGCGCAGCTACAAATTTTACGTGGTCCGGCCCGCCCTGCTCAAGCTTGACCAGCTGGCGTTCCAGCAGGCAGCAGCTGCATCACTGCCAGTGTTCCGCCTGCCGTTCTCGGCGTGGCTGTCTGGGCCGCCTGGCCTCCAGTGGAATTTGTTGGACTTGGAGCTTGGCCCAGGACCTTGGCTTCAATTTCGCTTGTGGGCACGTCGTGCGGATGTCGGGGTGCTGGCCGCTCCAGGTCCTCGGGGCCCCACTCTGCGTCCCCACGCTGCCGCGGTGTGCGGGTTGCGGGGCGCTGGATGTTGACGTCTGGCACGCTCTTTTCGCTTGTCCCGCGGCGGCAGCTCTTAGGTCCGCAATTTGGTCTCGCCTTTCTCTGCCCCCCCCTTCCTCACCCGCCCTAGTCTCTCAGTTCCTTTTTCACCAATCCCGACCACCGGCGGAACGCCGGGGGCACGTGCACTTTGTCGCCGCCGCAGTGCTACTGGCCGTCACTGGCGCCAGTCACTTTTAAGGCATGGCCCTGATGTTGGGGGCCGCCTGCGCTCCTGTGGCGCGCCCGCTTGCATGGGGCATGGCCGGGGGGGTCGCCGGCATTGGCCGGCGCCGTCGTGGCCTGCTCCGGGAGACTGACTGCTTGCCCTGTGTCCGTTGCTGGAAAAACTTTGGTCGCCTTCCCCTCTGCCCCTCGTCGTCCCCTTCCCTTCCCTTCCCTTCCCTTCCCTTCCCTTCCCTTCCCTTCCCTTCCCTTCCCTTCCCTTCCCTTCCTCCTCCTCCTCCTGTCGATTGCTGATCGTGGCGGCGGGCCCCCCGTGGGGCGACGACGAGGGAGGTGTTGGGGCGGCCGCGGGGCACCCAGAATGCGTTCTAGCCATGGTAGGCGCCTGCGGGGGGGAGAGGGATGGAACGCCTCCTGTTTTGGCTGTGGGTGCTTCTGCTGAGGTGGAAACAGGTGGGTGTTTTTGGTTGTTGGGGTCCTGCCCCCCCCTTGGTCCCTGGGGGCCTGCTGCCCCTGGGGGCTCCGGGTCGGCGCGTTGCCCCGCCCCCGCTTGGCCCCGAAAAACTCCAGCCTGTTTTGGCTTTGGGGGTCCCCGCCGGGGTGGAAACAGGTGGGTGTTTCAGAGTTGCGCTGCGGCTCTTCCGCGTCTTGCCCGCTCATTTGAATGTTCGCAGAAAATTCCCATTTGACACAGCTTATGTTTCATATGTGTTTGATTGTGCTTCACAGTCGTGATGCGGTCCTTTGCCTTGCTTGTGCTTCACAGTCGTGATGCGGTCTTTGTCTAGCTCGCACATATGGTTGTTTGCAATACCTTCCCACTGAGTTGCTCCTCGGCATGTTGGGGAAACGCGAAAGATCGCATTACACCTTGTCTATGTTCCTACATATCCTGTTGGCCTTCTTTACAGTTTATGCTCACATATTTGTTTGATTGTGCTTCACAGTCGTGATGCGGTCATTTGCTGTGTTTGTGCTTCACAGTCGTGATGCGGTCCTTGTCTTGCTCGTACGAATGATGTTTGCACTATGTTTGCACCCTTTTTGTCTTGTTCGCCTTGCTTGTTGTTTGTCATGCTCTCCTCTCCCCTTACTGGCCGCACGCGCGGGGCCAACCCCCATCCGTCTCCCTGGGGATGGGGGGGCCAGCCTCTCGCTCTCTTGAGGGCTGGTGCCGTCATCTGGGGGCGCTCATGGGAGGGTGGTTCGGCGTGGGCTGCGAATACGTTTCTTTCCACGGGGGGGCCTACGAAGGGCGGTGAAAGACCCGACCCTAGACGGGGGCACCCTGCGCTCCATCTCGTCCGCCTCTCTCTCGGGGGACGCGCTGGGGCGCCGCGGGGGCCCGCGGGCCGGGCGCGCGGCGCGCGGCGCGCGCCGAGCGCCCGACCTGTGGCCGCCGCTGCGGAGGCCAAAAACGCACATCCGAAAAGGCCTCGGGGCCACAACCTGGGAACGGCGGCGGGATGGGCCGCAAGCAACTAGATCCGCCGCACCCTGTCGATGTATCAACGGGGTGCCTGGCGTGCCAAATCCTCTCGGTTTTGCTTTTTCCAAAAGAACTCCTCCTGTGGCTTCGGCCCGTCGGAGTCCCGGGAGATTGCCGAAAACCCGGTTGCAAAGGTTTTCCCGGCCCCAGACGGCTCCAAGACGGCCAAGATGGCTTCCAATGTGCTTCCAAGACGGCCAAGATGGCCCCAAGATGCTCCAAGACGGCCCAAGATGCACCCAAGACGTCAAGGACGGCCCCAGGGGCCTCCAACAGGTCCTCCAGGAAGGCCCGAGGAAGCCAAAATCATTTATTTGACTGCGGTTTTTGAGCGATTTGGGGATTTGCTTCTCCTGGGCATTCCGACGGCCCCAGACGGCCCAAGAGGCCCTCAAGATCGCCCCAAGATCGCCCACGAGGTCTCCAAGACGGCCCCCTGACGGCCCAAGAGGCCCCCGAGACGGCCCCAAGAGAGCCCCAAGAGGACCCCAAGAGGCCTCGAAGACGCCCAAGATGGCCTCCAAGATGGCCCTGGAGCACCCCAAGAGGGCCCCAAGTCCGCCCAGAAAGGCCCCCGAAACGGCTTCCGAAGGTGGCTCGCAGCTGGCCCAAGACGGCCCAAGAGGCCTCCAGGAGAGCCTCCAGGAAGGCAAAAAAAGGCCAAACACAATGTTTTGTCTTAGGCTTTTGAGGGATCCCAACATGATCTTGACATTTGCTCCGCTTGGGGCTTCCGACGGCCCGATACGGCCCAAGAGTCCGCGAAGATCGCCCAAGGATCGCCCAAGAGGCCTCCAAAATGGCCCGACGACGGCCCAAGAGGCCTCCAAAACGCCCAAGATGGCCTCCAAGACGGCCCACGAGCCCTCCAAGATGTCCCCCATGAGAGCCCGAAAGAATCAAAATGGCTTCCAGACGGCCTAGACGACTGTCAAGATGCCCACGTGTCCCCCGAATGCTTTCCAAACCGGCTCGGGGGACAGATTGTCCGATAGCTTGGCAGGTCTGGCCTCAACGTTCGGCCACACAGGCGCTTCCAAAAAGGCAGGGGACGGCGGTGATTCGCCGTAGGCGTCTTCAATCCGCCGCCCTCTTTTCATTTATCCACGGGGGGCCCGGCGTGCCGGATTATACCCTGGGGCTCTGGCGCGTCCCGCCCGGAAGAAGTGGTTGCAAACGTTTGTCCTGCTCCAAACGGCTCCAAGATGGCCTCCACGACGGCCAAGATGCCTCCAAGACAGCCAAGATGGCCTCCAAGACGGCTCAGCGGGCCCAAAATGCCTCCAAGACAGCCCAAGATGCACCCAAGATGGCTTTAAGCTGGCCCAGAGCGGCCCAAGAGGCCTCCAGAGGCCTCCAAGACGGCCCACGAAGCCTCCAAGAGGTCCTCCAGGAAGGCCCGAGGAAGCCAAAATGTTAGATTCCCATACGTTTTCTGTTCAAAAAGATGTTTGGATTTGCTTCTTCTCGGCATCCCCGACGGCCCCAGACGGCCCAAGAGGCCCCCAAGATCGCCCCAAGATCGCCCACGAGGTCTCCAAGATGGCCCCTTGACCGCCCAAGAGCACCCCAAGACGACCCCAAGAGGGCCCCAAGAGACCTCCAAGACGGCCAAGATGGCCTCCACGACGGCAAAGAGGGCCCAAGATGGCCTCCAAGATGGTCCAAGCTGGCCTCCAAACCCGCCCAAGAAAGAAAGAGATGCCTCCAAGTCCGCCCAAGAAACCTCCAAGACGGCCCAAGACGGCCCAAGAGGTGCCCCAGAGGCCTCCAAGACGGCCCAGGCGGCCTCCGAGAGGTCCTCCAGGAGGGCCCCGAGTTGCCAAAATCAGTGATTTCCCTTGCGTCGTTTGGTTGTTTACCGCCTTTGCTCCTCCGACGACCCAAGACGGCCCAAGAGGCCCCCAAGATCGCCCCCACAGCGTCCAAGAGGCATCCGAGAGGGCCTCAGGACTGCCCAAGAAGCCCCAAGATGGCCCCAAGAAGACACAAAGACGACCCAACAGGCCTCCAAGACGCCCAAGATTGCCTCCAAGACGGCCCTGGGGCACCCCAAGAGGGCCCCAAGTCGGCCCAGGGAGGCCACCCAAACGGCGTCTGATGGCGTCAAACGGGCCAGGAGCCCACCAAGATGGCCGAAGTTGGCTTAAAGCTGGCCCAAAATGGCCGACGAGGCCTCCAAGAGGGCACCCAGGAAGGTAAAAAGCCTTGTTTTGTTATCTCTTTGCTTTCTTCCTATGTGTTTGAAGGTTGTTGGCATTTGCTTCTGTCCGGCCGCCCGAAGGCCCAGTACTGCCCAAGAGCCTCCAAAGATAGCACAAGGCTTCTAAGATGGCCCCAGAACGGCCCCAGAGGCTCCCAGGACGACCCAGTGAGCCTTTAAGACGCCCGAGATGGCCTCCAAGACGGCCCTGGGGCATCCCAAGAAAGCCCCAAGTCGGCTCAGAGGGGCCCCCAAACGGCTTCAAACGGCGCCGCCTGAACCAGGAGCCCACAAAAACAACCGAAGATGGCCCTAAGATGGCCCAACACGGCCCAGGAGGCCCCCAAGAGGGCCGCCAAGAAGGACCGAAAGGGCGATAGTCATTCATTTCCCATGCGGTCGTCACGGCTTGTGGCATGTGCTTATGTCTCCCCCGCCCGACGGCCTGACGTGGCCCAAGTGCACCCAAAGATCGCCCAAGAGGCCCACGATGGCCTCCAGCAGCCCCTAAGACGGCCCGAGAACAAGACGCTCACGATTGCCCCCCAAAACGGCCCACGAGCCCTCCAAATGGCCCCCCGGCGGCCAAGATGACTGTCAAGATGCCCACGTGTCACCCGAAGGCTCGTCAAAAGGCTCGCCAAATGTTCTTCAAACCAACTCGGGGAACGCATGGTCCGATAGCTTGGCAGGTATGGCCTCAACGTTCGGCCGCCGAGGCGCTTCCAGAAAAGCTGGGGATGGCGGTGATTCGCCGTAGGCGTCTCAGATCTACCGCCCCCTGTCGAGTCATCGAACGGGTGCCTGGCGTGCTGAACCCTTTCGGTTTGGGTGTCCGTTCGCCCCCCCGCAGGAACTCTTACGGCCCCCGAAACCACGAAGAATGCGCCACGAGGGCCCCAATATTACCCCCTGAAAGGGCCTCCAGAAAGCCTAAGACGGCCCCAGACACCTCCAACAGGCCTCCCAAA